ATATGAGATAATATACTGAATTAATATTAATGATTATTTATTAAATTAATAATTTTATTAATTTATTAATTATTAATTTAATTTATTATTAATAATAATAATAATAAAACACAAATAAAACTTAATTCTGTTTTTTATTTAATTCATATATATATATAGAAAATATGTAGAATACTATTAAAGTTTATTATAATATATGAGATAATATACTAAAATAAAATAATAATAAAACACAAATAAAACTTAATTATGTTTTAAATACAAATTTTTTCAAAAGCAATAATATTACTTTACATATTATACTTTGCCAACAGTGATTAGATACACCAGTAGTTATATAACTTTTCTTTATTCTCTCCAAAATTCAGATTTAAGGCGATTAAAAAAAACTTTGTTAAAATCAAAGTAATGTGAATTACACAAAATAATCCAAGGGTGTGGGATTGCTAGTAAATAATTATTATTATTTTGGGGGGGGGGGTAACTGTAATATTATTACTGAATTTTATTAGTAATTAGTTACATTACTAGTTACTGGGGAAAGTAATATTGTAACTAATGAGTTACTACCCAACTGGGCTTAGTATTGTGGTGTAACAGTTTAAATCAGGAGTTAAAAACATTAAGTAGTTGTTTGAAACAGCACTTATGGTCACTTACTGGACATTTTCTGAAGCTTTCACCCACAGTCTATGGTCTTCATCAGCACCTGAATGATTCCCTGTTTCTCAGCCATGACTTTCCTACATTTTTACCATCATTTATGGGTTTTTTCAGAGCACAATCTCACTGAAGTCCTTCTGATTTGGCTTAAACACAACCTAATGATGCATAATTAAAGAAACCTTGAATCTCTCTGTGTGGTGAGGCAGATATTTAGTAGATTTTGACAGAAAACGTAGCTTGTGACCCATTTTCAGTCGTAGAAACAGCAGATTTATCTTTGTTATTCAAGCCAAACGCCGTCTCCGCGGTCGTACTTAATTAAGCAATGTTTGGCCAGTGACGTTCCTCTATCTCACAGATTGCCTGTCTTCTCCGCTGCTCTGGTCATTTCCCTCTAATGTGGTCAGTCTTTATTCAACATCTACATGTGGAAACTAAACCTCAACAGAATAATGTGATTAATATTAAAGGTCAAGAAGCCTTTAATTAAGTCCCGTATGACTGAACAAGCCTTAATGTGGCAGCCACACATAAGTGAGCATCAATTTGTCCTTCTAATACAGTGTATTTCATTAGTATTATTCTTCACATTCATTAGACCTATAACCTTCCAGGAATCAAATCATCCTCGTTGTAAACAAGTGGCGGGGCCTCCTAATGGAGTAACGACAGGTTTAATGGGACTCACCTGCCATCTGCTGGCTGTGAGGGAGAACTACAGCCGAGGGCGTGAACGTCACAGGGTTGACAGTGCGGCAGAAACTCACAGTAAAGACAATATATTCACACTTTTATGCAACGTATGAGTGCATCGAGACATACAAACACATAACAAACCAACACTTTTAACTTCAAAGGCACTTCTTTAATATTCGTTCAGTAATATGTACATCTGTACAGACAAAGTAACATGTGCCACAACCATGCCTGCTCTCTCCCCAGGACAACTGTTTTTACATTTAAAAATTGTCTATTTTAAACACGAGAGCATCGGACTCACAATCAAATTCAAAATCTCAAACACAGTTCGAGCTGAGACGCTGTCGGACAAAGTGAGCCTCCCTGTTACACCGAGCTCTTCTCTCTACACGGGGGAGACTACAGCTCTAACACACAAAAGCAACCCTGTCTAACATAAATAAAAATCACTTAAATTAAATTCTAAATTAAATAAAAAAATCATGCAGAGATGAAGCACTGATATCCAGTGCTCTTCAGGGGTTGTGAAAGTGAAAGTGGAAACTGGGAGACTTCATATTTAGAGAAAATGCATCATGTGTGCCCACAGCCGCCCTGTAGACTAAAGAATAACACAGATGTATGGGGGGAAAATATCATAGCGGGACATCCTGTACAGCGAGAAAACAACACACACACAAACGGAAGGAAAAGAAGCGCCAGTGCGATCGGAAAAAAACAAGACTAAATCAAAATGGAACCTGGCTCTCGATAAACTGATCCGAACTACAAACCAAGAAATAAAACTAACGTAAAGTAGCGGGAAAACTTTTACTTTCTTTCCGCTCTAAAAACTGAGAAGTTGTCTGTAACATCCTGAGTGGTTAGCGACCCCCGACCAACACCAGCCCTTCCTGAACCAGCCAGCAGTCAGACCCCCTAACCCCATCCAGTACACACGTCAGTAAACGTCAGCAGTATTTTAAGATCCAGACCTAAATGAAGTTGATTTAAAGGCTCGGTTGGCGTTTAATTCAATCTTCCTGCAGTGTGAATGACTCGTGGATTACTTTGTGTAAAAGGGGGACGGTACAATAATACATTTTCAGCTTATATAACACAGGACAAAAAAACAAAAAAAAAAAGTTCCCGTGTGTCTCTTGTTCTCCACCTAATATGATCACCGCGGCAACACAGCCGGTTCGGATTGGCCCGGGTAGGTCAGGGTGAGCTCTGGCTCCGGAGAGGCGTGGTCGGTGGGCAGCGGCGGCGGCGGCGGCACCGGCTCGCTGGACGGCGCTCTCTGGCAGATGGCGGCGTAGCTCAGCTTCTTGGACTCCTGGTCGGTCAGAGCACAAGGTGGAGTCAGTGAGGGACAGTAACGTCTGCAAACGCTCACTGATCTCTGGTGCTAAACTATCCTCTCGTCTCAGCAGCACCTCCACATCTAAATCTATTTCTGAGAGCAACAAGAACGCTCGTGTAGACTCCACAGGAAGCCACAGGTGTCCTTTCATACTGGTTAACATTAATGCTCGTGAAGAGAGCGCAGCTACTCAAACTTTAGTTACGGTTCAGGTTAGTCAGAGTCCGAGCTGATGTTGTTGCTCTGGAAACACTCTGCTGCACTAAATGGAACATTAATTAGTATCATTAGTAACTATTGTGTTTACCCTGTATTTCATGTCAAAATGGCTGCTGTGAAAAAGGTCAAATAAAAAAACAGGAGAAACAACTGAACACCTTAAAGAAGGCGAATGTGTTGGTATATCTTACTGCGACTGGCTCCTGTGTGAGCTGAGCTGGTTTGGCCTCACCGGTCATCTCCGCGTGCTCCTTCACATTCCTACAGAGAGCAGCAGAACAATCTCACTCACACACACACAGCTCTGAGCACAGCCGGCGCCATGACAACCGGAAAAACCGATAAAAGTCTGAAGAGCTTAAGAGCGAAAAAAGGCAAACAAAGGAAGAATAACTGGAGGTGGTTGAGCTGTGGCTGCAGATCTGATCGTGTTATCGGTGAAAGTGAACGGGGAAGAACGTAAAAACAGACGTAAACAGATCAGTTGATGAATTAAATCGTCATCCAGCGGCTCTCAGAGATACTCACTGCTGTAAGAGTGGCTGAGGCTCCTGTGACACTGTTGGCACTGATGGGATCTGTGGGGGAA